TATGAGTGTTGTCATGTCGCCTAAAGCTGAGAGAGAAAAGGAGGGAGGAGGGAGACAGAGAGAGAGAAAGAGAGAGAGAGAGAGAGAGAGAGAGAGAGAGAGAGAGAGAGAGAGAAAGGAGATAGAGTGAGAAGAAGGAGGGGTGGGGTGGAGGAGAGAGAAGAAAGGAGGGAGGGAGAAGACTGGAGGCCCTTTTAACATCAAAGGTAGAATAAAATTACATTCACATAACTGGATGCCATGACTGACCAAAAGGCACACACAGCCCTCTGGGAGCCAGCATCACCGTTCCTTACTCAGGTTTCTCTGACTTTAAAAACAGCTCCCTCATTTCAAAACAAAGTTTATTTTTTAAAAAATGGTTTTATTGATGTATAATTGACATACAATAAACTTCCAAATTTAAAGTTGTATAAATTGATACATCCTATATAAAAAAAGGCTAATATGCAAATCAACCAAACGGTGGAAGAACCAGTTGCTGTGATGCTCAATGCAGGAGCTGCCCCCTGGTGATCAGTGCACTCCCACAGAGGGAGCATTGCTCAGCCAGAAGCCTGGCTCACTGCTGGTGAGCACAGCCGCAGTGGCAGGAGCGTCTCCCACCTCCGTGGCAGGGGAGCGGGCCTAAGCCGTCAGTCAGACATGCCCCGAGGGCTCCCGGACTGTGCGAGGGCACAGGCTGGGCTGAGGGACTCCCCCCAAAGTGCACAAATTTTGTGCACTGAGACTCTAGTTTTGACATAACTATACAAATGTGAAACTAACCACATAATGAACATATATATCTGTCACCCCCAAAAGTTAACTCCTGCTCCCTCCCTCATGTCCCTCCCTGCCCCCACTCTCCAGGAATCACTGATCTGCTTTCTGCTTAATTAATGTAAAATATTGATCTGCATTTTCTTGAAATTTATACAAATGGAATAGAAAATTTCACATATTATGCATGTTCTCTTTTTTTGCCTGACTTCGTTCACTCAGCATAATAAATAATAATTTGAAAAAGAAAAACCCCAAATTACCGAGAAGTGTGATTAATGATGTAACATAGACCCGCCAGGATTGAGAACAGTTAATATTTAATCATATTTGTTTTAGCTTTTCTCTTTTTTTTTTTTAGTAATGTGATTTATACAAAGAGAAAAGTTTTAAAAATTATACATTTTAATGGATAATTATAAAGCAAACCTTGTATAACCACTACCCAGGTCAAGAATTGGAGCCTTGCAAACACCTGTCATCTCCTAGGGTCCCCTCCCTGACCACGCCCTTTCTTTCCCCATTCCAGGTCAGCACTGTTCTCACTTTGGGGAGAATCATTTTCTTGCCTTTCTTTTTGTTTTATGACCTAGTACGATGGAGTTAAGTCACTTGTTTGTGAATTTTATAGGAATGAGATCATATTGTATGTCTTCTGTGACCAGCATTTTTTTACTGTTATGTGTGTGAGATCAGCCATGTTGGCCATGTGGCTATGGTTTGTTCGTTTTGATAGCTGAGGAGTATTTGATTGTATGAATATACTGCAGTGTGGCCCACCCTACTGCCAGTTCCCTGACCCCCACCCTGTGTTCGAAGAAAGTTAATCCCATGAATAGCCACATGTGCAAATCATAAATTGACAAGAGCATCTGCCCTCCCTCCCTTTCTTCTTTTGTTGTTGTTGTCATCTCAGACTGGAGGGTAAGTCAGTCCCCATTACCCCAGCATGGCTAGAAGCAGAAGTCCCCATATTCTTTTTTTTGTTCCAAATTTAAATGGTCTATTTAGGGAGGTTTCTGTGGTGAGGGCAAAGAGGGGCCAGGTTAGCTCTCCCAGTTTCAAAATGCAAGGGTTCCCTCTTCCTTTGTTACCAAAAAGAACTCAAAATGTGGCCTCTGTTCATTCACGTAGTGTCTTTGGTTCAGCTTTCCGCCTCTAGACTGTGTTTCCTAGAGCTCCACAGGCCTTCCCTTCCAAGGTGGATGGCACAGCTCTTTAAAAAGAGAGAAAACAGTAGCCTGTGTTGCAGGGAAGTCCATCGATGAAATGGCAGGGCCGGGGGAGATGCCAGGCAGACCAGGGCTGGGGTGGAAACACAGGCTGAGGCCAAGCAGATGAAGACGTCAAAGCTGGGGCAGAGCATAAGGCCACGTGTGAGCCGTGTTTAAGGAAAAGTCCACTCGTTTGCGTGGTCCACGGCTGGGGCAGGGGCAGGAACACTATAAGTTTGCCAAAATAGAGGAGGCAGCCGTGTATAATAAGAAAAGGCCCACGTTTGGCTATGTGTGATGGAGCATTTGAGAAGCGTGGTGTCTGAAGCACATCCGTGCCAGAGATGGCTAGCTGCCCACTGAAGATAAGTGCTTCCTTTGCAGGGCTTGTCACTCCCCAGAGCTGTCACTGGGGAGAGGCTGCCTGTGCAGGGACTGCGTTCCCAGCCCCCGTTGTAGGCAGACATGAGACTTAGGGCCAGGCCGTGGAGTGTAAATGGCGGTGATGTTCACCTCCAACATGGGCTTCTTCCCTTCCAGCTGGCTGGACTGTAGATGACCCCCTGGGGCAATCCTGGAAGTCACTTGGTGACATGGGAGACCCTTAGTCACTTGGGGCTAGCCCACCTACTGAGGGCTATGGTGGTGGCGAAACTACACTGTCATGTGAGGAACTTTCTCAGCAAGGCAGCGAATTGATCATCTGGCAAATTGACTTTTGACAATCCGGTTTGCAGCAAATTCTGCCTCGAGGATATCTATATATGTATATTTCGCTTGGCTTGCTTCCTTTGAAAAGACCAAGTGGTGCTTTGAGTGGAATGACACGCCAGTTTTAGCAAAGAGGCAGCTGATGTTACTCATAGATTATTTCATAGCTTTTTTGCCCTGTGGGTAGGTGGGGAGGACTTGCCTTTATTTTTCTCCTTCCATCCATAGGATTCCAAGCCCCCCACTCATAAGAGGAAGAAAACTTAGGGGGAAAAACACAAGGAAACTAGAGAGAGAGAAAGAGAGAAGGGAAATCAGAGAGGGGACACTCACCTACAGTTGGCAGAGGCAGACTAATCGTAGACCACAACTACTCAAGGGGAAAAGCGAAGAACGTTGTGCCCCATCCATGGGCATCTGTGTGCATGCTAGATCGTCTGATCACTGACCGTGTCTGGCACTGTCTTGCCCTTCCCCGTGATAGGGGGCATAACCATGGAGTTATGGGTCTAACTCCTTCATGTTGTAGATGGGCAACCGGAGACCCATATAGACACAGGGCAGCCCACGGTCACCGTTTATAAATTTCAGAGTTGGGATTTCCCACACTGACGTGATTCAAAGACTTCACAGAGGCCCCCGCCCACTCCTTATGCCCATTTGCACATTCGAGCAGTTGAACTTGTCTTCCTCTGAGTTGGTGGAAACCACAGGGTGTGTCTGCAGGGAGACAAGCCCCTTCATCATGGCTCAGTGTCATCCCAACAGGCAGCTCGGTGCAGGGAGGACCACACGGCAGAGCTGCTTCTTGCTCAGGGTCCCCACCAACGCATCAGGTCCTGGTTTCATTTTCAGGGGAATCCCGCCCGCCTTCAGCTGGTGGCCCCGTGAGGCAAATGGCTTGAGTCACTCTCACCACAGCCCTGGGGTGGTCTGGAAAGTAGTTTCCCTTTTAACGTCTGTCTGGATCAGGTGTTGCTCTTGACACATCTCCCCCGCCTGTCTGTCCGTCCTACCCAGACTCCTCCTAGTTTCATTGTTCTAAGCTACACTGCGATCCTGTCATTCCCTAGAGCCCACAGTGTGGGTTGCACACTCCTTAGCAGGACATTTGGGGACCTTGTACAGCCCCCCTCCGCCCACTCTCCCCCCCCATGCCTCTGTGTGTCTTACATGTTGGGGGCACCTTGCTAATTCAGTTGCTTTTGTACCTCTGTGCTTTTGCACAACCAATTTTTTTCTGGACTTTTCTCCCCCACCTGGACTACTTGGAATACTCCCTCCTCATTCTTTAATTTTAAAAAACCTATTTATTTATTATTATTATTTTTTAAAATGTCAATGGTTTTATTTTAAAATACTTATGTCTATTTTCTCAACTTGATTGTCATATCTTTTTTGTTTTTATTGGCAAGTTCATTCTAATCAAAATGTTAAGTGAGAACACCATAGATGAGTCAGCCACCCCCAAAACGCACACTTCTATAAGCTCTAGACTCATAGTCTCAAACCACCCTCTGTGTACTACTCAGGTTTTGGTGCAACACATCACACCCAGGGAACGGCACAACGTATTTCCCACTCGTGGAGTCCGAAGACTAGAACTTATTTTTTAGTGTTAAGTTTGGGTTCTGGGTTTAGTTGGGCAAGAATTTCCCTCAGCTGCCATGAATCCTAGCTGAAGTCAATCCTTTTCCACCACTGACCTGGGAAAACCCCACCAAATCCAGATTGTCTGTTAAAAAAAAAATAAAACCAGAAAATTAAAAAAGAAAGCAGGTGAGCAAGTCACTGAAGAGACAGCTACCTGGATTAGACAAGAACATATATCTTAGATCTAAGATGATGGTGGAGGAGAAGACATCTCATGGGTGGTTTCACCTCAGGAGAAATGGGAATCTCAGCGCAGGAAGAGCAGTCAGGGGTTACTACGTTAGCTCAGAGACTGTAAGCTAAACCTCTATTGAGAAGGTGTGTGTGTAAGGAGTTAAGGAGCAAGGAGGGAAGATTCAAGTAGGAATAATGTCTTCGTCTTGAACTGCTTCCCACTGCAATCGACAAGGCCACACCCTGGAGTTTGACGTTAATGGCAATGCTCTGTGATGTCCACTACCCCTGCCTTCTTCCAGCTGAGGACAAAGTCTCCTGTGCCGGCCCCTGCTGCTACAGCAACGCAGGGGTTCCCACTGTAGGTCGTGAAGAGGAGCATGAGGAAGCCGATGACCACCTGGGTGGGATGCAGCACTGTTTGCAGGAGGGGAGGGAAGCTCAGCATCTGCTGCCCAACAGTTCTGTGTGTCTCCATAAGAATGGTCCCATTTGGTCCTGGAACAGGCATGGAATTGTAGCGAATGCTGACTTGTGACTTGCGTAGCAGGCTCTCTCGGGCTATCCTGAGTCCTTCATAGAACATTGCTAGTAAAAACACTCCCACAAAAGCTCCCGCCATTTCTCCAGCTGTATTGATCACCACACCAGAAAACAATAGTTCCACACTCTTAAAGCCAAAGTAGAAGGTCATATGCATCATCATCATGTTGCCATCCCCCCCTCCGTGGAGGTGGGTGGCTGAAGTGGCCGTGTGATGGTGAGAAGGTGGCATGGTACTGGTGTGGTCCACAGAGTTCATCCCCATATGGTGGGAATGGTTCATTTTTCCAGGAAAAGTTGAGAATCAGCAAAAGGTTCTTCCCAGATCAAGTCCCGCCACTGGCGCCTCCCTTTCAGAACCGTAACCTGTCGCCCCCTCATGACTCTTCATCAACCCCGTCCACTAGTGACCGGCTCAATGTGTCCACGATTGCCACCGACACCGCCAATTCCCGCCCTCAAAACTATTTATTTTTAAAAATTGTGGTAAAATACACATAACATAAAATTGAACATTTTAACCATTTTTTAGTGTGCAGTTCAGTGACATTAAGTACATTCACATCATTGTGCTACCATCACCACCATCCATCTCCAGAACTTTTTCATTATCCCTAACTGAAACCAAACCCATTGCACACTAACTGCCCATCCCCCACTCCCCGCGTAGTACCTGGCAGCCACCATTCTACTTTCTGTCTCTATGAATCTGACTTCTCTGGATGTGTCTAGGGGTGGCATCAGACAGTATTGGTCCTTTTATGACTGGCTTTTCATCCATGTTGTAGCATGTGTCAGAACTTCCTTCCTTTTAAGGGCTGCATGGTATTCCATTGTACATATACCACATTTTGTTTGTTCTTTCATCTGTCCATGGTTGCTTAGGTTGATTCCATGTTTTGGCTATTGTGACTTCATCTGTGGCCTAACATGTGGTCTGTCCTGGAGAATGTCCCATGTGTAATTGATAAGAATGTATATGTGCCCGGCCGGCGTGGCTCAGTGGTTGAACATCGACCTTTGAACCAGGAGGTCATGGTTCAATTCCCGGTCAGGGAACATGTCCATGTTGCGGGCTCGATCCCCAGTAGGGGGCATGCAGGAGGCAGCCAATCAATGATTCTCTCTCATAATTGATGTTTCTCTCTCTCTCTCCCTCTCATTTCCTCTCTGAAATCAATAAAAATATATTTTAAAAAAGAGAATGTATATGCTGTTGCTGTTGGGTGGAGTGTTCTGTATTATGTCTGTGCCATGTTAACTCCAGTTGCTTTATTGTGCTGCTCAACTCCTTTACTTCTTTACTGATCTGCTGTCTGGATGCTTCATTCATTACTGAGAGTGGGGTGTTGATGTCTCCAGCTATTACTATGCAACTGTCTATTTCTCTCTTCAGTCTGTCAATTTTTGCTTCATATATCTTGGTGGCCTCTTATTGGATGCATACATGTTCGGCCTCGGTTTTTAAGACTCTATTCTAATGCTCCCTCCTCCGCTGCCCTCATGCCTGCCTCCCCCAGCGCCGGCGGAGTTCCTCTCCTCTGTGCTTTCACTGTAACTTGTATCCACTCTGTGTACTGCGTTCTGCTGCAGTGAAGAATTTACAGTCTGTCTTCCCAGTTGGCTTCTCTTGGAGGACACAGGATTTTGTCTTATTTATGTTTGCAATTCCAGAACCCGGCACAATAGGTACCCGGGGAAAGTTTGTTACATGGACATTAATTATTGAACTCGATTGTGTGTCACCCATCTTCTTCCTCGGATAAAAATAATTATAGCCAGAAATTCTCAACACATCATTGCTTTGAGTATATGTAACCTATAGCCTCCAAGGTTTTGCTCTTCTCTCTCACTTGATCCTTATACAGCCCTATGATGGAGGTAGGGCCAGGTTTACAGCTCCATTTTACAGGTAAAAAACCTGAGACTCGCTCAGAGAGGCCTAATGTCTTGCTAGAGGTCAAGATGGTAAGAAGCAGAGCTGGGGCTTGATCCCAGGAAGGTCTGGCTCCTGACCAGGGCTGCTTTCTCAGTGCCCACTGCCCTGGTAGGCTCTGCTCTTTGTGGCTGCCCTGGCTGGCATCGCAGCCTCTGTGTGTGGGAGGCTGAGACGGGCACATGTGATCCTGAGCTTCTCTCCTCTGGGGGAATTTCCAGTTTGTCTTTCGATGTGTTTCAAGGAGTTCCAAGCGAGTCTATGCACCTCACCAGATCCATTTTGGAGAAGATGACTACTGAGTACCTTGCTCCCTGGGACACAGGCAGGAGGGGCTCCAGTCTGGACTTCCCTGACTCAAAGTATTATGTGCGTGCTCTTGGATCTGAAGTACCCTGGCCACCTTGGGAGAGAAGAAGATTGTTCTTATTTTGAACAAAATGTTCCCCTGTGACTACCTTCCCACTCTGTCCCGTGGAGCCTGCTGGCAGAGTGACCCTGCTCTCTCTGCTCCTGACACTCGGAGCAGACATGGCAACAGTGACGTGTTCCCCTTCCTCAGGGTCCCTGGCTCCAGCGCCCTCAAGCTCCGCCATGGCTTTTCCAGGAACCTGAAGCCCAGCCCTGCCGCTGTGGGCCACCTTCTCCAGATATGCTCCTGGCCGGGTCTGAGTGACAGCGAGGGCACAGCCATGACAGGGCATCACCGGGCTGGCAGGAGGAAGGCTTGCAGAGCCTCTAATTGCGGCTTCCTCAGATGGACAGGCAGCTGACTGTGGGTGGAGAGCAGAAGAGGAGGAGGAGGGGGAGGGGAGAGGAGGGGAGGAGCAGGAAACAGAGCCCTGGCCTGTGTGATGGAACAAAAATAGAGGAGCCGGGGTTACTGTGGGCTGAGCTTCTTCCCAGCGTGCTCTCTCCAGGAGGCTCCGGCTAGGGGAGCCCACGGGGCCCTGTGCTGGTCGCAGGGTGAGCCACCTGCGGGGAGTGCTGGCCATCCCCAGGCTGTGCCCTTCAGTGGCTGGAGAGGGATTTCGCATGGTGTTTATCAGAGAGTCCATATTGTGCTGCTGGAAGTCTGCGGTCCTTCCCTCCTGTCTCAGGGGTTCTCTGTCGATGGCAGTGATAAGAATGTATATATGCCCGGCTGGCGTGGCTCAGTGGCCTGGCCTCGACAGTGAGGGGACACAGAGACAAGGGATGGCTAGAGAGGGCCCAGTGGGGGCCTTTGGGTCAATTTTCATGTAAATGGTAATAATTGCACTTACAGGAATCTGAACATATGAAAAAAGGCAGTGTATCTATGTGCTTTGTGCAATGCCTGAGGCTGTAAAAGGCAATGACTGTAACTGCACTTGATGCTGCAAGGGCACTGGTGGCTCCTAGAGATGTTTCCCTCATGGTGTTTTGGGGGCCTGAGTGAGGTCTGTCACCTCTGCGCCCTGCAAGCACCTGTGGGCTGAGAATGACTGGACAGCAGGACCAGATTTCAGCCTGGCTCTAAGTGCTGTGTGACCCCGGGCAAGCTCCTTTGCCTCTCTGGGCCTCTGTTTTCTTTCCTGTGCCATAGAGGACATGGGCTAGATCTCTGAGGTCTTTCAGCCCACAGAAATTGGGGGATCTGGGCCATGGGCAGGGTGTTACTTTCTGATGCCTGTGGCTCTTTCTTTGGAGAAGGCCTATCCCTCCACTCCACCCTTTGCTGAGCTGGCCTGCTGGTTTCCTAGACAGGCCCCACAGAAGGATGTGCTGGAGACCAGTCTGGGACTGGGGCTTCTGAGGCCAAGATTGTGCATTCCCTTTGCATGAAAGCAGGAGACGCGACCGGAGCCTTCCTTCTACATGCCCCGAAGACACCCCAGCAGAGGGGTGCTGCCTGGGTTACTGGAGAGTTTGGCCTGTTCTGCCGGGACACATGGCTGGAGGGCAGTAAACCCTAGCCCTCCTGCCGGGCAGGTGATCCTCACGGAGCTAGCCAGGCCTGACTCAGAGCTTCAGCCTGCCAGCCGGGAGCTAGCTGTTCCCTGGGTCACTACATAGACATCACATCACACCTTGGGCTCCGACAGTGTCCCTGGCTCTGGGGCCAAGGAGAGAAATACAATATCAACCTGGCACCAACTGGCCTAAAAGAACAGCTGACTCTGGTAAGAAAGCTGAGATGAAGCCCCGAGTTCAAGATTGGCAGGTAGCCTCCGGACAGATTGCTGATGGTCTGACCCTCGGCCAAGGAAAGAGCTGGGCTGGGCTATTTGAGTCCAAGCCCCCGATCCCGCCCTCCACCTGGCTGTGTGTGACCTTCACTTGGTTCCTGCCCCTTCTTGGGACCTCGGCTTCCCCACTGGGTCTGGATATGAAGGTGTTAGTTAAGAGAACAAATTTTGTGGTGTCTTTTCTTCAAATGTGAGGACCCTGTTCCTTCAGCCTTTAATGGAAATGGTATATGAAGGTTAAGTGTATGATGCCTAACTATCTGCTGCCTTGAACATGCTACCCCTGCCCCACAGCCTCCCCTTCCTCACCACATCCTGTGTCTGAGCTGGTACCTATTCTCCCATTTTCTAGAAGGAAAATGACCTTCATTCTGGATTACAGAGAATGATAATCTGGACATTTCAGTGTGTCATTGAAGAGGTTTGGACTGACCAAAAGTGGTCTTATTTCTTGTTCCAGATCTACCCGTGGGTCTTGACCAATTAATTCTCTTCTTGTCTGGGCCTCAGTTTCCCTCTTGGTAGCGTGAAGTGTTGGGTCCAGGCGATCTCAAAATTTCTTTCCAGTTTGGCCTCAGGGTCTCTAATTTCCCCTGGAATTTTAACCTGATGTCACTCTGGGCCTCACAAACGGACTAAATGGGAATGACTGAGAATGGGAACAACTTGGCTCAGAAGAACAATGAAACCTCCTCTACAGTGGAGGGCGGCTGCCAAAATGCTGGCCTTCCCCTGCTTGCTTCATGTTCATCTCAGCCACGGTGGGGATTTTCATGAGTGGTCACACACACACACACACACACACACACACACACACAGACGTACGCACACTCCAAGGCTCGGCCAGTGGGCCTTCTGGAGAACGCTTGTCCCTGAATGCGGAACAGTGGGCATGGCACCAGGCCTCGTGGGGTTATCTTCATGGCAGAGCTATAATAGATTTTAAGTGGGTTCCAGAAGCTTCGTGTGAGCACCGAGTATCCAGTGTCCTGGGTCTCTGCCACCACCTGCTGATTGGGCTGGCTGCGCCTCCGGGCCCGCATGGCATCCCGGTCATGTGAGGGACTAGTCAGGAAGCTGGTGCTCAGCTCTCTGGCATTTGGCTGTGAACCTGGGCCATGGAGCTGTCAGCAGGCCCGTCAAAGGGTGCTGCCAGGGGAAGGGCCACACTCTAGGCAGCCCTCCTGGCACTGCTGTCCCCGTGCTCTGTGGCTGACAGATACTCACAGCCTTGTCA